TCTGAGTGGTGGTAAAGAATTATATATATATATTGCATATAGTTCATGTTGTAAATATCTGTATATATTTATATCTGTTTCCGTTAGGGTCTATGGTATCAATAAATCTGTACATAGTTAAGTTACTGGAGCATCCTGGTATAGGGGAAGGAGAAAAACTGTGCTCAGCCTGCAGTTTCTACCCACAGCACACCTGCCCTGGTAACAATCCCCTTCAATTGGAGAAGGGAGTACATACCCAAGTGCACCTGAGCTACACAGCTCTGAAAAAGACTGGTTTCCTCAGCTATGTAGGTACCGTTGTTACTTTTGATAGCAGAATGCCATGAATTCAAACCATATGCTAAGGTATCATCACCAAGAATTAGCATTAATGAAAGCATTTGTACTGTCTTGGTATCCAAGTAGCACTCATTAAGAGTTTGATCCTGCAAAGAGATCCGCTTTGAGTTGACAAGTATGTTCAGCATCTACTGAATTCACTGGAAGCCAAGTGCATTTGCCCCATCCTAATATACTTGCAATCTTGCAGTTTGAGTCTTAAAACTCCCCCCAAATCTTCTCCCAGAATGTACTAGACTTCTTGCAAACCTTGCTTGGATTCTTTTATGTGATTTCTTATTTGATAGTTTTAGATACCATGCTTAGGGATACAGCTGGCATCTTTTCCAGGTCATTATAGTCACCTGTGAAACTGCTCAATATCCATCACTTTAAGCTTTCTAATCCACAGCTTGTCTTTAGAAAAGTTTTTACATGGAGATATTCTTAGGCACTGAGGCTGTGGCTTGGATTGCTGCCGTCTGACAAATTTCTTTGTAAGTATAAATACATGTGATAGTCAGTGGGAGCTGGCTTCTTAGAAACCCAAAAAACACAAGTGTGGATTGTCCAAATTTCCCCATGGCAAAGGCTTGACAATGCACCGAGGAATCTCAGCAAGTTTGAGCTTGATCGTAAGAGAAAAGTCCTTCTAGTGCCATCAAAAAGTCATTAAAATAATGCATCTGTCACTGAGGGCATGCAAACAAGGCAAATGAGGGTGGGAATTTGCAGGTGCCAGCTGATATATGGGAACAGCCCCTGGGCATCTCCACAAGAGATAAAAAATGATCTATGGCAGCTTAGCTGTGTCTCATTGAGGGGTAAACTGCTGTCAGTTCACTTATCTGCTGCAAAGTAAGAGCATGCACGTGTGAAGTTACTGGAGAGCAAGGGTATCAAAAATATGGCCCACAGAGCTGTTTCCCCAAGCTCACAGGGCTGGTAAAAGGGCTGAGAATTCAGGTGCAGGGCAATGGGGGTGGAAACCTGAAGGACATACGTGAATAGTTTATTAACCCCTGCACTGCTCCTCTGGCTGCTGGGTCCAGATTTAGCCTGTGAGGAGTCCCGAGGTTTTGATCCAGGAGATCAAGTTTGACACCCTTGAGCAACTGACACCTGGCAATTTTTACTCCCTTTTAACCTTAAAAGACAATGCCCTTAAAAGGGCTAAGTAGTAAAAAGGTAAACTTTAAGAGTTGGCAGAGCCAAGCTGATAGGTGATTTCTTTCTCCCAGGTGTCATGGTTGTTTGGTTTGTTGCTAAGTGCACAAATTAGATCGATTAAAGTACTTTTATGCCACATTTGCTTAAAAAGAAACATTTTAAACAGCGATTGGGATTTCCATTTGCTTACAATTAATTGAATAGAGCAAGCAGTCTCCTACAAAACAGCCCCCAGGAGGTAAAGAACAGTCTATTACTCCATGTTTTGCACCATGATCTGTAAGGTCTATTGCTGACCCTCCTCAGAAAACATATATTGTGCTAAGCCAGTGATGCTGACTCTAAGCACTGCTTCCCCAGGCACTGTGACATTCTGTATATTCAAAGGGAAATCGAGCTTGCAGGAGAACATAGAAGCTCTGAAATCAGATGCAATGCACTCTGTATTACTGGAAGAGTACCTATAACTTCCTTTATACAAAGAGAACTCAAAAGAGTTTCCTAAGAGGTGCTTAAATCCCTTATCTCTACTAAAAACCATGAGTATTGAGGCTATTAACAGCCTCCCAGCCTGTGCCCAGCAACCCACACCATCAGATCCTTACAGAGCAAGAAATAGCAAAATGATTAAGAATAACTGTAAGCTTTGACATAGCTCTTTTATCAGTAGATCTCAAAGGCCATTTGTGCACACCACAAAATTGCCCTTTAAAGAGGCTTAATGCCCTTTTGCACTTCTTTAGTAGTGCAGCTGTTTACACGTCAGAGGCACGTTAAATAACTTTGGGAGGGAACAAAATAAAGCATGTCTGAGGTGTTTTAGTCTGCAACCTTACAGCTGCGGAGGGAAGCACCAGGACCCGTGCAGCTCAAGGGTTGTGCAGGCAGCCCATGCAGGCAGCCTGGCAGCAGCTTGTGCAGGCAGGCTCTAATGAAGGGGGAAAAAAAGTAGTGAGCTTGATCTTTTTTTTTTTTCTTCTCCCCCCTCCCCTGAACCTTCCTGCCTGAGCTGCGTGGGGACCTGATGCTTCCCTCTACAGCTGCAGTGTCCCTTGGAACCGCCCAGGCTGGGTGCCTATGAGCCTGGGGGCACCACCACTGCCACAGAGGGAAACATCAGCCCCCCCACCGCAGCTCAGGGACCGCTCTGCCTGCTGGCAGCTTGCCTCCCCTCCCCACCACTGAAGACGTAGGTAAGGATTGGGCCCAGCCCATGTATACATGCCATGGGGGTTTACTTTGGTTTAATTCTCCTTAAATTGAAGCAGTGGGTTTTTAGAAACACTGCTTCAATTTAGGGCAAAGTAAACCCCCATGGCATGTACAAATGGCCGAAGTGCTTTACACTGGAGGTCAGTATCATTACTAGGGAAACTGATTCATGGAGACATTAAGAGGCATGCCCAAGGATATGTATTTACCTTTGTAGAAATGATTTCCCACTAATTTTGCAGACAGAATGGAGGTGTCTGTTGGCCTCTACTGGTGGCACCTAGATAAAGTTTGAGATTGCTACTCTCCCCAAATTACAAAGCTAGTAGCTAGACCCACTGGTTCATCCTTCTGGACACTTGCACTTACTAGACAGCTGTTTACAGCAACAGCAGTTGCTATAGGACAGTGGTTCTCAATCTTGAGACTCATGATACCCCCTAGAAAATGGAGCTCTTAGTTTTCACTAAAATAAAGCACTTTGTGTGTTGCAAAGAACTCAGAAAGACTACAACAGGTCTTTAATACCATGGATTCCTATTTGAAATCTCTGGGTTTATCTTGTGAACCATGCTTGCATCTGTAATAGTGCTAGGACTGCATGTCACCCTGCAGCACTTTTGAAAGCATCTCAAGGCTAGAGAATCACTGCTCTAGACATTCATTAATGACTTCTATCTGGTTTGGTCCAGTCACAGCAGTGAAAGAACTGGCTAATTTCAGGGAGGAAGGGAGAAGATGTTCTAGTTGATGTGAGCATTAGGAATTCTATCATAAAAACAGGGCCTATTACAAAAAACAAAACAAAACAAACAAAAACTATATTGCACATCATCCCCAGAGACAGGTAAGGTTTTGACCCACCTCTAATGTTAGGAATGCTCATATGTTGTCCTACTGGATTGTGCTACATCAGAGAAATAGGTTAGGATTCTCCTTTTTATGAAAGAATGTTGAAAATTGTTTTAAATCATATATTACACAATGCAAGGGGACATAAAACACTTCATTTTCAAGTTCTAGTTGCTTGTTTTAAGCACATCAAGATTTAAGGGAATAGCCTTGAATTTTAATTCAGATCACAAGAGTACTAATATTATGCATATTAAAATTGAAAGGTACTCCTAAATATTCAGCCAATCAGCTTGGCGGCTGATCATAACATGCCTCCTAATCCTAATTCAAATGAGAAGGAAGTGACCAGGATGGGAAGCCATTGCAGACAGCAACTTTTTCCATCATGCATACTTCTAAAATATAAACATGCATCTATCTCAAAGAGGGAACAAATATAAATAGCCGCATGATCATAATTCAACAGCGCCCAAAAAAATCAATACTACAAATTTCAAAACTGCATTGCTCAGGAAGGTAAATTAAAATGTCAATTCAAACCAATTTTTACATAGTTTATAACAGGAACAGAGGTGTCTCAGAAAAAAAATTATCAAAAAGGTAACCAAGGAGAAAAATAATGGTTTTACCAGATTCCAAGAATACTGACAAGAGTGTAGCTTTGATGTGCCACGAACAGAATAAGAGTGAAACCTTATTTTCCACCTGTATGAGAGAGGACTTACCCTTGCTCTATCCTACATTTGTTCCTGTACTGACTGGTGCATTAGGAAGCGTTATTTTCCATTTCTATGGTGCAGGTACCGGGAGAAGTGGAACAAGGGGCTACTGTACGTTCCCTCATTCCTACCATGGCCCCTGGCTTAGTCCTTATGATTTAAGCACCTTTCTGGCTCCAAAGCTGCAGTATTTTTCCTTGCCTATCAAATTCTCCAGTTGACTATCTCTAGCTGTCAGCATGTTACAGAATTTTAAAGTTTCTATAGTTGTTTTTCATATGATTTCCGCTCCTCCCATGTGTATTCAATGACATGTTATACCAACACATACATTTCTGCCATATCTTCTGACTAAAATAAAGTTAATCATCTCCTGGTTTCTCCCAAAGTCAGAGAAACAAGTTTTCTATTCCACCCACCACCTTGAACCTTTGCCATTAAACATAAACCAGTAATAATGCTAGCAATTTAACTCAGTAATGTGCAGCTTTGGAATACACACAGGACCACATCCTGCTCCCTTTCCTCAATGTGCTTTGACTAATAAGACTAGCCAGATTTGGCAAAGCATGTGAGGGTGTGCTCAGCTATAAGCCCGCTTTATTGGGTTACTGAGTTAAACGGCAAAAAAATCAAGCCATTCGGTGCTACAGTGTTTGCATTGGAGAAATATTCTATGAACCCTCCTTTGCTAATGTTACATAGATCTTGTTTGGTACTTACCTATGATATACTCCAACCAGAAAACGTCCTTTTCTGGTTTGTAAGGACGGGTGAATTCAATTTGGATATAGTAAGGTTGTCCACGACGCACAATCAGCTTAGGGTTATAGTACCGATCAGTATGATGCTGCTGCTTGTTAATTTCCTGGTCACTGCTGATCATGTTAACATTCACAACTTGCAAATAATCTGTATAAATACAGAAACAAACAGAGGGAACACATTCAATTTCTTGAATTCATACCAACACTGTACTCATTAGAGGCCTTTGTACACACCATGTGATTTCCCGTTTACGCCACCACAACTGCTTTTTCTGTTTGAATGAGTGGGATTTTCCACCAATTTAAAAGTCTTTTTGACACATTAAACTAACACTGCTTGGGCATGTTTTATTTTCTGGTGCCCCAGCTTACGCTGCCCTATCTATGGACTCATGTCGTGCAAACAGTGAGCTACTCTAAGACTTGTAATTACCCACTGTGATGTTCAGAACTGCAGAACACAGTGGCATCACCAGAATGGTAAGTTTGAAACTATTTATGTGTGCTACCCCTAAGACTTCATTGACTTTTTCAAACCTTCCTATTTCTTATAATTGACATTCCCATTACAGAAACATGAAGAATAGTCCAGGCGGAAGCTGACTGCCAGACACGCCCCCCAGCATATGCAGCATCCTGGGAGACATATAGGTAATATCAGAAATGTCCCACCGACTTTGTGCAGGGCAGGGTTGGGGGGGCAAGAGGGCAGTTTTTGGACTGTGGTCCAGAACTCCATCCTCTTCTTTCTTCCCCCTCCCTGCAGAAAACTTTCATGATTGCGAAAGGACCAAGATCAATAAGAAGAAAAAGCATGAAGAAGAAGCCAGTTATTAAGACTATACTGTGTAGTCTCCTATAGAAAGTAGTGTATGGTTTATTTAAGTACTGCATAGATTTATAGATAGTGTATAGTGCATAGCGTGATAGATATTGTATAGAGCATAGGGTATAGATAGATATTGTATAGAATTATATAGTATAGGAAATAGTGTGTAGTTAGTGTATATAGTGTAATGGGACTCCCCCTTCATTCATGCTGAAAACTATTTAGAATAGTCCCCTTGAGATGGAGAGGAGAATTCTGATCTGGCTGGGTTAAATGCCCTTTAAGATCTGGGACAGAAGTTCAATAAATTGACTTAACCTAGATCAGTTAAGTCTGATACACCTGGATGGAGGTAGTATCTTAAACCAGTTTCAGCCATTTTGAAAGCAGTTCATGTGCACTGAACTTCTGTAGTGTTACACACTTGAAACAATTTCTGATCCCAGACAAAAATAGTGCACAGCAGTGGTTTTCTATACTTCTCTAAAATGTTTACAAGAAATGCTTTCTCTTGATTTTTCTTTTAAATCCTAAGCCCAAGTGATGTAAAGCAATAAAAAAAAGGTGGACAACCTGCCCCATGTGTGCCACAAGCAGCCACTGTGTGGGTCATAAGATCCCTGGCCACTCACTAAAGGTAGTGCTGGAATGGAAGCAGGGAACTCCAACCTCTAGCTGCATGGGGTAGAGAGCTGGCAGGACACTTCACCAGAGAAGGTGCCACTGCCAAGAGCCAGATTAAGACTTCCGTGGCTCTGCAGTGCTGCCAGTTTAAGGGCTTTGGATTCTTGCTTCCTATATAATACTGCAGTGTTTTCAGGGCTAGGGAACAGTTAACCTGGCTCTTAGTGGTGATACCTTCTCAGGCTGTTGCTGCTCCACTCCATGGGGCTGGAGGCTCAAGCCCCCTTGCCTCCATTCTGTCACTCCAGGATGAAAACTCGATTGGGTACATCCCCAGGTATCAGTGGCAATCAAGGAAGAGAGAGACCGCTTAACTTGTGACACACCTGCCAAAAAGGTTGGCCACCATGGCCTTAAACAAACTTTTAAACACAGGTGACCACTAATTGTATGTTTCTCACTTAATGTGTCATGTTTGGCACCCATCGAGGGCCTGCTTTGCAGAAGTGCTGAGCATTCACACCTGCAACTGGAGTCAGCCAAGAGCCAGGTTATCTCTTCCCTGACTCCACAACCACCAGAGTTTTGTATCAGGAGTGAAGATCTAAAACCCTAAATTTGACAGCAGCTGCAGGGCTAGGGAAGGGTTAATTGGCAGTGACTCCTAATTTCTCCTCTTACAGTAGCATCCTGCCTGGCTCCATTCCAGTGTCTTCTTTTACTGAGCTTGAGGGGCTCACATGCCACAAACAGCAGCCATCCTGTCACTCGTGATACATATGCCACAGGTTGGCCACTTCTGATCTAGAAAAGCTGATACCACACACCCAAAGCATCGGCACTTAGTGTTTTCCCTAAGTAAACCTCAACTTAATGCATAAGCAGCAGAGTTGTACCGCTATTTGGCTTCCTTCTTTCCATGCCAAAAGCACCTTCCCTCCCAGAAAGCATCTGGCATAAACTTCTGTACACTTTTATCACCTGCCTCTATAGTTTCATAGCTTCTAGGGTCGGAAGAGACCTGAGCAGATCATCTAGTCCGACCCCCTGCCATGGCAGGAAGAGCACTGGGGTCAAATGACCCCAGTAAGGTGGTCATCCAACCTCCTCTTAAAAACCCCCAGGGTGGGAGCCTGCACCACCTCACTTGGAAGCTGGTTCCAGAC